ATGATCGAATTTTATGTAATCCATGATCGAATTTTATGTAATCCATGATTGAATTTTTTGAAAATTTGTGATTTTTTTTTTTTAATCCATGATCGAATTTTTTTTTGTAATCCATGATAGAGTTTTTTGAAAATTTGTGATTTTTTTTTTAATCCATGATCGATTTTTTTGAAAATTTGTTATTTTTTTTTTTAATCTATATTATTCAAAGAGAAAATGAGAGAGATGATGATTCTGAGGCCACCCTATCACAGCCATATTATTCACATATCGAGTTCCAACAGCAACAGTGTAGGGATGAGCACGAAATACTGTAAATTAAATGCTGAATGGCGGTTCATGCAGGGAAAGAACATATCAATATTCGCATATTCATTCAAAAATATGAAAATTCTTAATGGAGTACCCTCATTTTTTATTGAATTCCTAAAAAACAATATTTATAATGAATTTTAATAATTTTTTCGAATTTTTCTTAAGCTTTATTCTGACCGACGAATCGTCGATTCGCCGATCCGGATCGGTTTTTTGGAAGCCCGATCCGGGTCACCGATCCGTTTTTTAAACCATTGGTTGGCATTCAAAAGATATGGTTTGAATACCCTTTTTGCTGTCAGGCGGGCATATAAACTCCTGCTAAGTAAGCGGATTTCAACATTGCATTTAGAAAGGAACCCCCCACCAAAATTTTATCCTTTTTGTACAGTTACAGTGGGGTGCCACACAACAGTGCTTCAAAGCGAGTCTCATTTTTGTTCTTCCTATTATATTTTAGGTGATTTTCCTATATTCTTATACTTGCCTATTTCATGCCGTAATTCATTATAGATGTGGTATTTTTGCCCCATTGTTTTTCTTGCCTCGCTCTCACCTGTAACTCTCAGTTTGTTGCCTGAATGAACTTCTTGATCCAAGATAGTGGAGACTGTGAGATGCTTAAACTTAGTTGCAAGAATCTTGTACTAGAGTGATGATCCCTCTTTGGAACTTCATCGCTATTCCTGTTCCACGACCTTTTTTGCTAGCTGCATCCTACTTTATCCTTCTAAATATTTCTATTCTTCTCTCCCTTGTGTCCCCTGTCCCAAATCCTACTTCTTGGGATTCTTTAGGCCAGATTAAATCAATTCTCGTTTAAATATTTCCCTACTGTAATATGAAGAATATTAATAATAGCCTATCGCAGAAAAGCAAATTTGCTAGCTACTTGAAAGCTGATAACCTCTAAAAATCATTACTACTGGTATCAATTTTGAGGGGTTTTTCTGTAGTTACAGTTATACACTTTATCAAACAAGCAAAATACAAGACTACGTTACCCATGACCTTTCACGCACTTTCCCATTTTAATTCACCAGTACTTGAGTAGTCAATTAGATTATCAATGCTTCTTTATGTGGATGTATTAGAAAATAAGTTTACCTAAAATTTCTTCTCCACCTGCAGCGCTTACATTTTGGCTAAGAATCTAAATGGGAAAGTGCTGAATCTCAGGGATGTCTTATATCGAATGGAATCCAACGTGCACCGACAAGGAAACATGAAAAAACATAAATTGTGAAGATGTTACACAACTGTAACATCACAGGCACTTTATCAATCATGCACATTATTTTTTCTGAGCTAGTGACATCATGCTATGCTCCAAAATCTATCAAGCATACGCTAATCAACTCGTGCAGCTTGAAGGCTATATTTTTTGTGTACTCTGCGAATGGAATCATAGTAACTCCTCTTCCTTTTTGCTTAACACCCGAACTCAAGTTCTCTTAAAGCTGAAATGATAATGGTTGTCTGGAATCAGTATTGTGGACTTTGTGCACCTATTACTATTACATTTAAATCCCAAAATTTAGTATTAGTAATATTTCCGGTTCCTACACTGATATTGTGGAGTGGGGTTATTCCTTTGTAGTTTATGCCTGTTCTTCCCATCAAAGGCTCAAGTCTGTGTTTGTCGGGTTTTCTTGTGACCAAATGCATGAGGCTCTCTAATGATGTTCCTCGTGTAGTTTTTTGATAACAAAGGCAAAGATTTGCTAGCCTTCACATAGACATTATAAAATTGTGTGAGAGGTTATAAGTTTGACAAGCTGGGTCTTTCATTACCCAGTGGGTTCTATCTCTTATTTTATTAGTTTTCCCATCTTAGTACATGACCAAATGTATTACAAGTCTTTCAGTTCTGAATTATGATTATTCATGACTAGTTTTCTCCAAATTTAGATCTTTGAGCATTTCGGTTTCCTAAATTTTCTGGAGAATGTTGCACATGACACCTCCGTGTATTAATTTGCCACATATATGAATGTGGTTTGTATGCATTTTTTGTTTCTGGGTTCGACAGTGGAATCCCAAAGGAAGGATAGAAAGATATGAGTTCATCCATTCCATAACAAAAGAAAATCCCCTCCCCTTAGAGAGCTGCAAAATTTACTCCTTGTGAACTAGTTCCTGGATCCCACCATCAATTACATCTCTATGTGATGGAGAAGACCCTTGAGTCTTGGCTGTGGCAAAGGGGCTCTCCTTGGGTTCACTCCCCAGGATGAGAGGGAGGAAAATATGAAAGAGAAATAGGATAAGAGGTTGGAGAAGGAGAAGAGTGAGAAAAAGATCAGAAGGAAGGATGTGCCACTCTCTTGTGGTAATTGGTGAGTTGCAGGGTGCTGCATTCTCCAAGCAAATTGGTCACCTTGTCGAGATTGCAATCTCAGGTCAAGTGTGTTGATTCTCTTTCTCGGATCAGTGAAGTTGCAGGGCGCTGCTTTCTCCTAGTAAGCTAGTCACCTTGTCGAGAACAAAGAGTGGGAGTTGAGCACATAACAACAAGAAAGATGGGCCAATGAGAGAGAGATATATTACATTATTATAGAATGACATGACATCTTACATTTTTTAAAATAAAATTTGGAGTTAAAAATTCGTTGGTTATTTTTCGTAGTTTATGGACTGCGCACCCAAATCCTAGTTAACTGCACTTGAAAACCTCGATTTTTAACCAGATGGAGCTCGATCCTGTGGAACTTATCATTCGATCCATAGAAGTTGAGATCGAGCTTCCAAACATATTAGTATCTCGATCCCTAATATTTTGGGGTTACAGAAGGTGATCCTGAACTTGGGCGCCTTCTAGCCTTTTGTGATGCCTCGCTCCCAATCCTATCCCAGAACCGATCTTGATCCTGATCCCGATCCCGGTAACTATGATGAGGCCCTCAAGACTATGCTTCTAAAAAATGCTCCCTCTATTACTTGAAGGGGAAGGAAATTGTTCTGTAGTCATGTGAGCACTATGCTTGTGGAGAATGCTTTCCCCTTGTACAGTCTTTTAAGGATCATGGGACGAAAAATTCCCCATAGTCATGTGGACTACCAATCAAAAGTGCGGAATGGTCCCCATATGGTCTCGTACGATGCTTCCTCTATTCCTTGGAGGGGCGTGGGCCCAGCAAGGCTCCAAGCATGCGGCGAGAGTATCTCTTTCTCTTGGGGCCAGGGTCCCCCTATCCTTTGGTGAGAGAGGTGTGGCCATGATTTGGTCTGCTGCAGAGAGTGACGGTTGTGGGCCCCTTCTAGATAAAGAATGTGGTGCACTGGCCCAATCTTCTAGAGTGTGAAAATGTGGCGTGGCCCCTGTCTTATAGACAGAGAGTGAGGCATAGGTCATACCTTCGTTTTTTGGGGGGGGGGGGGGAGATCTTCTAGAGAAAGACAGTGGGGTGAAAGAAACTGGACATAGGCCCTGTCCTCAAGAGAGTAGTAGTGGGATGTGGGTCCCATAAGGGTACAATGTTGGGGGTAAATTTCGAGAGTTTAGATAATATTTTTCTCGGGCCCCCAATGGTAATATATTGTAGGACACTAGTAAAACCCAGAAAGTAGTGTACAAGTGTGAAACATAATAAATAAATGCAGTGTGCTTATGATTATCACTTCTTTTAAGTTGAATCCATATATGGACGTGCTTCTGTATCTTCTTGATTGGAATATCATTTCTTTCTTCATTCAGGGCTTGTCCTTCTCCACTAGAGATGATGTACTTGATATTTCCTCTTTTTGATTGATTGAAATGTCGTTCTTTTGTTACATATAAATTTTATAGCATATGTTTCTTATGATTCATATTGTTATGTTGCAGCTGGTTGAGTTTCTAGACAGCCCCTTGCACTGTTATTTAAGGCAGGCTGATTGCTTGAACTTCTTCTTTTGCTTCCGTTGGATTCTTATTCAATTTAAAAGGTGAGAAAGGAACTCCTTTACTGCCCAAAATTGTTTGGACCTTTCCTAAGCAAGCTGTCTATCTGATTCTTTTTGGTGTTTTCTTGGATCCCTGGAAACTGGAAATTCGATATCCTGATACTAGCTTGTAGTTGGTATTAAATGTTACTACTGTCCAATGATTAAAAGTGAAAGTTATTATGGTCAACTGATCTACTCTTTCTGCAATATTGATGTAGTGGTTTTTTATTTGTGGCTCCAGGTCTTGTCAAACAAAATAGAGAATAAGATATATCTGCTTGTATCATTTTCTTGATTATCATTACATTAACATAGATGTTTAAAAAGTGATAAATGTAGCATTTAACATTGTTGATACTTCTATAGTAGGGTAGGAGATGGAGATGTATTGATGTTCATGACCATGGTGTAGATACGTGAGATTCCTTCTGGAAACACTAGGTTACAAAGGCAGTAACATGTCCATGGTCATGTATATCTATAATGAAACGAGTCTCAGATTCTCATGATGGCATGACCATACATATTATGTACTGGTAGATTTGAGTTTGTGGATGCATACACACTTAATGATGCACACACACATAGGACACAATAGGTGTGTGCATGCTCCCAACCTCAGGGCTTTCCACATTTGGCTCTTCTTGTCTTCTGCTGTTATTCTTGTTCTGGCTTCAATTACCAAGCTCTAGCTCTTTTAATAATTGTTCATGATATGGTTCCTGTAGATTTGAGTAAAATGATAAAGAAATCAATCCAATCAGGATTTAACTGGAGCACATACTTTTTTGGAATGAGTTAACTGTTTTATTAAGTAAGGAATGGAGTACAAGTCTTCAAAAAATAGGATTCCCACAAACCGGGAGCTCTATACAAAAAATAAGCTTCCCGAAGAGCAGGAGCTTTATGCAAAAAGAGAAAAGGCTACCCATAGAGAGGTGGCCCTGTACAAAAATCACCAAGAAGGTGAGTAGATGAGAAGTAGGTCAAAACAGTAAATCCTTCCTTAGCGAGAATGCTACCTTCCATGTTGGCCTCTCACTAGTGTTCGGAAAATTGAACCCGAATGGTTAATCGGACATAGGGCTGCGAGCAGTTAGAACCTGAATTGGACTAACTGGGCGGTTATCAGGACTAACTAGTGCGGTGGATTTTTTTTTTTAAAAAAAGGGTCAAAAACCCAAAAAAAAGAAAAAAGAAAAAGAAAAACCTAGATTAATTGTATATTACCTTATTACCTACATTTATCTTACAAAATTTTTTTTGAAACTTTTTATAAAAATTAATATGTGAATACTATGGAGATACGCAAGACAATTTATAATTTGACATTAATGTAATTGATGGAGTTACGAAGTCCAACTAACAATGGCTAGTAGTAATGAGAGTGGTAAGGGGTATCAGGGTACTCTTGTATTTTTCCAATGTATTTTCTTTGTTTCTCTATTCCAACAAAAGTTTTGAGGTAAGCATAGTAACAGTTCATGATTACATTCATCAATTGAGCAGCAAAGTAAACTGCTATATCAGCAGTCCTTACGACAAAATAAGAAAATGGTAAGAAGGAGCTGCGCATTATTGATCCCAAGTAAATATCACAATCCAAGACAGTTATTTAAAAGCAAGATCAAATTTTTTTTATTATAAAAAAGTTTGAAATTGTGAATGCCTCTGCCAACACAATTATAATCCCATGTCCATTACACAATTACAATCCTAATTCCATAATTACAACAATTACAATTACAATCCCATTTCCTTTATTACAAATATAGCTATATCATGCACTTAAAAAAAAAGAAAAAAATCAAGAAAAAAAAAATGAAGCAAAAGTAAGACCGACATTATCAGGCACTTATTTTTTTGTTTGTTAGAATCGATTTTTTTGTCATATTCATCAAAAAACATATTTTTATCATAAAAACCTAATTTTATCTAGAAAATATAATTATAGTAAGCAAAATAGAGAAACACTTCCCACATTAATCATAAAAAATAATGTTATTAACTTAATGATATTAAGTAAAATAAATTTTTTTTGGAAATCGGTTTCTCAAAAACCCCTAAAATCAAGCAACGTTTCAAGAAAAAACGACCGTCAATGTTTGGAAAATCAAACAAATCAATACAAAGGCTTTGTAAAGGCTTCCATCATCTTTCAAACACACCAAATCTAATAAAAAATATTTGATAAATATTTTTTATTTAATTTAAAAATCACAGACACACCAAATCTAATAAAAAATGTTTGATAAATATTTTTTATGTAATTTAAAAATCACTGAAAATGTAGACTTATGAAATTTTCATGACATCAAGCAAGAAATAAATTCATATAAAAACATTTACTCAATTATAAATTAATATACCTATTTTATATGACAGATGAAGCTTGATGATCAAAATCCATAATTCAATTTGATAAAAAAGACCACTAAATTGATTCAAAATCTGTTTTTTGAATCGAACACAAGTTCTTCGAGCAGCAAATTTTGAGGCCAAAATCAACCCCAAGTATCTTGTTTTTCGAACAAATTGAAACAGGGATATGGTAACCAATTCGATTATGATTCAAAACCCTCAACTTTCATCAATAATCGTTACCTATTAAAGATGAAATTAACGAAATGGCGGATCGAATTAGGGTTCTTCGAGCAGCTCGAACATAGGTTCTTCGAGCAAATTTTGGGGCCAAAATCAACTCCCTATATCTTGTTCGTTGAACAAATTGAAATAGGGATATAGTAACCAATTCGATTATGATTCAAAACTCTCAAATTTCATCAATAATTGTCATCTATGGAAGAAGAAATTGCTGAAATGGCAGAAATTTCAAAGGATAGAAAATCCGCCACTTCATTCCAAAAGAACTATTGTTTTTTTTATCTTTGATTTTGAATTTTGTTGTTTTATAGACAATCAATAATGGTTTACAATTCTAAAGCACCAAAAACGCCAAAAAATGGCAAGGATATCGAATAAAAAAAGCAAGAAAATTTGATTCACAGGTCTTGCTGCAAATAACGGGCTCCATTTCAAAAAAAGGCCGTTATTTCGTTTTGCCCGTTTTTTGCCAAAAAAACGCTCTTTTAACAGAAAATCGGTCCGGTTAGATCAAAACTGGTTGGTTAGACATAAATACGGCCGATTCGACCCCTAACTGACCGATATTGGTCCGGACATTTTATGGGGTGATACCCTTAGTCCTTAGAACCCCAAAACCGCCCCTAATCGGACTCGAAACCCTAGCGGTTCCGAGCTAACCGGCCAGTTCCGGTTCTAATTGATCGGTTTGTCTAATAGTGCCTCTCACCAAATATGCCTCCATGACACGACCATAAGCCTGCAAATGTGGGAAATCTCATAAAAAATGAAAGCAAGAGTCTAGGGGTAGGGAGAGGAACCCGAGGCCCATCGAATAACATTCTTGGAGTCGTCCTCGATGATTAAAATTGGGCTCCACTAGGGATTAAAGATTTTGAGGCCCTGAAGGAAGGCTAAAGCCTCGATCGATTAGGAATCCGTGCGGCCTATGTGTTTGGAGAAGGAAGCTAGGATCTGACCCTAATGATTCCTAATTAAACCTGCAATGCCTTCGGGAACCAGGTTGCCAGAGGAGCATCCATCGAAGTTCAGTTTGGTCCAATCTTCAATGAAAACAGTGGGGGGCTCCCTTGAAGCTTTTGTGGTTGGTCATAGATTGAATTTTGTTGAACATGGCAGCTGGTATGGATCTTTTGGCATGGAAGATCCTATTGTTTCTCTCTGTCTAGATGATCCAAAGAGTTGCCGCTACTGAAGCCTTCCATAAAAGGATGCCAGTTTTGGGCCAGGCGAAGGTTTGACGGGACCTGAAAGGAGGGGAATCAACTTGGGGTTTACCCATTGCCAATTGAACAGTTGGAGAATGGCACTCTAGAGCTCCTGAGCCAGGGGACAATGGATAAAGAGGTGAGCATTGCATTCTTCATCGGCTCTGCACATCATAGCTATTAGGAATGGGTAAGCCTCTCCTTTGAAACAGGTCCACCGTGAGGGCTCTTTCTGATAGGGCTATCTAGTTAAAGACTTGAATCTAGTTAAAGACTTGAATTTTATGGCATGTGATGAAGGACCAGGCCTTTGCAACAATGGAGGTGGGGGATAGGGGAAGAGTGGGCAGTTGTAGAAGCCTGTGGTAAAAGGAGGAGACCAAAAAACACATGAGGGAGATGGGCACCACATGATGAGATCCGAACCCTTGAGGGGGCAAGGAAATTGTTATGGAGGAGTGAAGAAAGTTTGATGGATTCTGTTACATCTGGGTTAGTTAGGGGTCTTCGGAAGGTGGCGTTCCAAGCTCTAGATGGTCCTGAAGTGACCATTTCGTATGCCACAAAGGTGAGACGATTGTGAGCCAGTAGGAAGAGGAAAGGAAAAAGGTCTTTGAGAGGAGTATACCCAATCCATAGATCAAACCAGAACCTGACTCGACGACCCTCTCTGGGATGAAGCTTTTAAAGAGACTTAGGGGGGAGTGGATGGATTTCTAGGCCCCGTGGGATCTACTGTTGGTCCTGTAATCGAGTATCCATTTGGGGTCAAGTCGATATTTTTGTCGAAGAACCTGCATCCACAGTTGCTTAGTTTGAGTGGCCATGAGCCACCACCATTTACTAGGCGGGGCTATGTTGTGCTTTCTCAAGTTGCGGATTCCTAGGCCTCTCAGTGGTTTGGGTAGGCATACCTTGCCCAGGAAATGAGATGAAACTTTCTGCAATTGGCCTCACCTGACCAAAGGAAGTTTTGCATGAGTTGCTCGAGGCGGTTGTACATTGCTGCGGGCATGTGGAAGAGATGTTTGGTATACTGAGATGTTAGAGAGGGTATCTTTAATTAGGATGATCCTTCTAGCTGATGAGAGGAAGCGGCCCTTCCATCTCACTAGTCTTCAGTCGACCTTGTATATGATATGAGCTCACTGTCTTTTCTTCAGCTCACCAATGCAAAGGGGCAATCCCAGGTAGCTAGATGGCAAGGCATGAGCCTGGCATCCCCAGCTGGTGGCAAGGTCTTGTGTGGTTTGGAGATCCAAGGCCACCCCAATCATCTTTGATTTGGCGATCTTTGATTTGGCGATCTTTGATTTGGCGAGATTGACCTTGAAACTTGTGGCAAACTCAAAGCATTTGAGGAAGAGGAGAAGAGAATCTAATTCCTAATTGGTGGCTTCACAGAAGACAAGACTGTCATCTGCGTACTGTAGCTGGGTGATGACTGCACCCCTAAGTCCACTCTTAGAGCCATTCAATAGAGCAGAATGGAACATGCGAGTAATGGATTGGCTGTATACCTCAACAGCAATAGGAAACAAGAAGAGAATAAGGGATCCTCTTGCTTGAGACCCTTAGATGAGGGGAAGATTAGGGGAGCCATTGATAAGAATGGAAAAGTAGGGGCTTGGCAATGCAACCTTTCATCCAGGTCCCCCATCGAGCCTCGAACCCCATTCTCTAGAGGGTCTCATCCAGACTTGACCAGTCGCCATGGTCATAGGCCTTCTCCTAGTCATGTTTAATAATTACCCCAGGAGTTTTGCAAAGGTGGCTGGTGTGGATGCATTCATGAGATACTAAGGCTCCGTCAATAATCTGGCTATCTTTAACAAAAGCCCCGTGGGAAGGGAACATGACCTGAGAGAGAACCTCCTTGAGTCCGGTAGCCAGAATCTTGGAAAGGATCTTGTAGGAGGTAATGATAAGACTGATTGGGCGAAAATCCTTTAGCTCTTCGGCTCCTTCAAGATTAGGAACAAGGGCAATAAAAGTGGCATTCGGTGCCTTATGGACAATGCCCCTGGTTAAGAATTCCACAAATAAGGAGAGGATTTCCTATTTCGAGAGTGGGCATTCTAGCCAGGAAGCCCAAAAATAATTGTTTGAAGTAGTCAATGATGTCACCCTCAACTTGGGCTGGTTGGTCCAAAGTTGAATTTCCAATCTGGATACGGGTAATGGTGTTGTCTTGTCTCCTACAATTAGCAATTTTATGGAAGAAAGCATATTGAGATCCTCTAATGGAGCCACTTCACTCACCCTAGACCTTTGATGCCAAAAAATTTCTTCTTTCTTAAGGAGAATTTGATAGTCATGTTTGAGTTGGAACCACTGCAATCTCTCTGAAGGTGATAGGGGTCTTACTTCCTCGATGAGGTCAATGCCATGGATAGACTGAAGCAGAGAGGGTTTTAGGGTGGGGAAGTTTCCTGGGAGGTGTCTGTTCCATTCCTTCAAAGAGTTTGAGGAGCTGGAGTTTGTGTTTAAGTGTGAATCCTGCTCTTCCAAGGACCAGGGGGGAGAAAGAGTTCCACCAGATGGGAATAAGGGAGAGGAGATGAGGTTCCTCTAACCACGCCATTTCGAATTGGTTGGTTTCAATGAGAGCTAAGATGGACGGGGAGAGTTTGTAGCTGAGGTCTCAAACTGTACTGCGCTTGTTGGGGTGCCCCAATTCGCTAACGTTCCATGAGCAGATCAGCAGATTAGCATGAATGAGGGTGTGGAAGGGAAACACGTCTGGGGAGGTGCTCTTTCAATGGGACTAGGGCTACAATGGAGCCAACCAAGGATCAAGGGGGATCCGACCCATCATAATTGACCGTGAAAGCAAGGTTTGAGATTTCTCATTTGCCTTTGCCGCCGACCCTGAGTCTCGTTTGGGTGCCTGCCTTATAGAATGTGTGGAAAACTCCTTCAAGGCCATTATAATGAAAGCCCAAACTTTTAGAACTTCATGGATATTACCTTGAATTGCATCCATGTCATCCACGAACTTGGAATCCTCCGAGGGGGAGGTGGGATTAGAAGAGCTAGCTTTTGGAGAGACCCCAGAGGAGGGTGAAGCGGCTGATCTTCGGAGCAGGGGAAGAGGTGAAACACTTCTAGAAGGAGGGGTTGTAAGGCTCTGAGATGCCCAGGATAGAGACACGGGGGGGGGGGTAGGAGTTGGTGGGAGGGTTGCGGGAGTTGGAACGAGGTTTTGGTGGGCTGGGGAGATAGGGAGGGGGAGGGAGGGGGAGGGGATAAACCAAGGGGGGAAGGATGGGGCCCTGAATGGAGAGGTAAGCAGGGGATGGGAGAGTCATAAGGAAGCCACTTGAGGTGCGTATTGGGGGGGGAGCTGGGTTGGATGGGTTACCAAAGAAGGTGGGCTGGGGGAGGTGGGAAAGGTATGAACGGAAGGCCAGGGGTTAGGGGAGATGAGGGAACCGAGGTTGAGCAGTAGGGAAGAAAGAAGGGGCAACATGGGTCAGGGGAAGGGGTGAGGGTAATAGGGCTGGGCTTAGGTTAGAGTATGGGATGTATGAGTGGTAGGCTGCGATGTGGATATGGGGGTGAGAAGGGGCTAAGGATCTAGAGGAGGGGACGGGGTAGGAGAGAATGGCAGGGCCATAAGGGGGGAGTGGGAGTGGTGGAAATTAAGAGAACAGGGAGCTAAAACCAGAAAATGGGGGGAGTGGGGGTGGTGGAATTAAAGTCACCTGTGAGCCCGATGGGGACCGGAACTCAACTGCGAGCGAGATCAGCAGATAGAGCGCCAACAGTGGGTGGTGACTAAAGGCTGACTACACAGGGGAGAGGAGGTGAGGTCGACTGAGAAACCCATGGTAGTGAAGGCAATAGGAAGGTGAAGGGAGGTTGACATCGCTGAGGGCCCACCTTCTGAGAGGATGGGGGGTTCTTCCAAGCAGGAACTGCCATCTCCTGTGAAGAGAGATCGAGGGAGTGGGCGAGCTCAGCCGTAGATGAAGGGCTTCCAGGGGAGCGAGCTAGACAGCCTCAGCAGGGTGGTCGAAGCACAGAAGGGGCTGAATCAAAAGGAAGGAGAGAAATAGAAGAGGGAGGAAGAGAGAGACAGGGGAGGCAGGGAAGACTAATAAGAGACTAAAATACTCTTCCGAAGGCATGCGACTCTTGTTGATTTACGCTTGGCTTGGGATTTCTCCAACAGACTTACAATGTGCTCCAAGCTATCTCAGTTATGCATGTTTTTCCAATCTATGGGTTAAAAAACTAGCCTGTTAAGGTACACTGTAGATGTATTATGCAATCCAAAGAGGTTACTGACAAATGGGCCCTGCATAATATTAGTAAAGCATACTTTTCAGTTATTTGTGGTGTTAGAAAGACTCGTGCACTCCACTGTAGAAACTCCTCATCAGGCACCTTGCAATGTGAAACTGGCAGTGCCTTTGAAGAAACTCAGTTATCTATGTCATTTTTTCATAGATGATAGGCAGTGATGTCATCTTTGGTACTTCATAATATTCGAGATCTAGTTGTGGGTCGTCTTAAAAGTTTGCAATGGTTCTGACCATGGATATTTGCAAGGTAGTCTTAGAAACCTGGAATAGGAAATCTTGGTCGAATCTCACCTGTATCTTACATGGTTGATTGTCAATTATGTGTGTAGAAGAACTCTATATGTTCTGATCAGTGAAAAAAAGGCCAGAATATAGCTCGGACTCAGAAGATCTGGACCCCAACTCAGAGGTCGGACTCAGCCGAGTCTCTGTAAAAACTCGAGGGGCAACGACCCAGTGAGGGGGGCCATGATCCAGTGAGACTTGCCTGAGGCTCAGGGTTTTTTTTATCTAGACATGTCACTAGTTTTTTAACACTGTTTCTGATTATCCAATATTTTAAAAAATGGCCAGAATTCTTAGCTTTAACTTGGGGCCAAACTAGCTTCTAATTTACCTTTTCAAAGATGAAGGTTAAACTCATTTAACCTTTAAATCTGAATATATGTGAGTACATTTGTTCTGCCATAGAGTAAGGTGGGATTTGAATTTGAAAGGAACGGTTGCAAAGTAGGCCGTGGTGACTTTTATGTGCTATAGGAATTCTCATTTGCATGATTTCAATTGTGTTCCGGAAGTAGTTATGTAAATTTTGCATCAAAGACTTCGAATCGTAGGAATCTCAGATCATAAAAGCTTGCATAAACATGATGCTATGCTAAGCTTGCTATGAGTTCTCTAGGAATATCAAAGGCGATCATTCTGGCATTACCATTTAAGTTACAGTAAATCCCCCTTGTGTTGTTTTTGGTTTTTTCTCGTTTTCTGTTGGTAAATTGTTAAGCATCTAATCACACCAGGGGAATCAACGTTGTTCACATGCTTGTTTTGTCAGTAAGTGTGAATTGATTTGTTCTGACTTTCACTATTTTAGAGAATTTGTGTACGAGAAGACAATGCGATTATGGGAAGTGCTGTGGACACATTATCTTTCCGAGCATTTCCACTTATATATGTGTGTTGCCATCCTTAAGAAGCACCGAAAGAAGATCATCGAGGAGAGAATGGATTTCGACACGCTCTTGAAGTTCATAAATGAGCTTAGTTGCCATATTACTCTTGAAGCCACTCTCAAGGATGCAGAGGCCCTGTGCATTATTGCTGGTGAGAATAAGGCTGCATGCATTCCCCCAGGTACCCCTCCGTCCCTTCCTGTTGAGGGGGGGCTGCTTGAATGAGATTTTCTCCATTTGCTCACTTGAGACAATCAAGTTTGGGATGTGCAAGTCACCCCATTTGGTCATTAACTACATGTCTATATTGCAGCAGCTGACGAGATTACTGTTCTCAAATTTAGGATGCATGTATATAATGAACAGAGTCACCTTTATCATTTGTTATGAGGAGAATAATTCCATATTCTTATTCATGTAAATGTGCATCTAAACCAAAGGTGCAGTTGCTTATCTTGAACTTCCATTCAATCTCCTGATTTTCCCTAAAAAAACTTCCATTCAATCTCCAAACATTGGAAAAACTATACTACATGCTTCAAGTCTCAAACTTTGGTTGCCATCGAATGAGACTGAATGGGGTCTTGATTCATGGTGGCCTCTTTTTGCCTTTTTTGGTTAGTTCACATAGAATGCTTTTCAGATAACATGGAAATAGTATTTTTCACCCGTTGCCCTCGGAACAATGGCCTGGCCACTAAACTATTATGAAGTCACCATACGTGGTAGATGACAATCTTTTCTAGATAATGTGAAGCAAGGAATGCATTGGAACATGAATCTGAGTTTGGGAAATATAAATGAAATTAATGACCCTGGGGATTAAGGTTTGGGAGGAAAGAGCAATTTAATGCGAGGATGTTCCCTTTTCATTCGTTTTTAGATAATTGACAAAACTCCTCGGCCAGAATTAAGAGGTGAGGGGCGTTTGGATCTCAAATGGGGCAGGTATGGATTTGTGACCTTGAGCTGTGCAAGTTGTTCTGTCGAGCACAGGTTGAGGTTCGGCTTCAATGGGGAAAATGGAGCACCCAACAGCGCATCTTTACACAACTACGAGATCACCTTTTTCATTTTGGGGTGACCGAGGGATCGTACCATATGAGCCTTAGATATTTCTAATTCGTTAAAATAAGTTAGGCCACTTATGTAGAATTTTGACTATCACTGCCCCCACTCTCTTTCTCTCTCCCCATTGGTGGCACATAGCAGTTCTTGCTTCTTTTATTATGGAACATGGGACATGAAAAGTAGAGTGAACTTTTCGGTCATGTGGATAGGCGTGGGAATGTTTTCAATCCAATTATATAGACAATTGGTGTGAAAAGATGCATTGGGACCGATTGAAAAATACTAGCATCTAATCACATGAGGAATCAGAGAAAATTTTCACATGAACCAAACATGCTCTTAAATTTTCCACGAGATCTCCAACATTCTTGTTCACAATACCCCTATCATAACGCATGAATGCTCATCATTTTTATTTTTGTTTCCCTCCAAGAATATATTTACTAATATCATGGCTGCTGAACAGAAGGTTGAAGTGTCGTGACTCGGTAAACCTGATGCATAGCAGAGGAAGGATGCATGGGCATGGGGCGGGTCGGTTGGTTTGTGTTTAGATCAACGTATGAAAAGTTGGGTGGTCGGATTTCTAATTGCCCGGTTAATTGGAACCGGCCACTGGCCGACTTTTGTTTTGCTAGTTTTGGTGAATCGGCTGGGTATTTAAAAAAAATTTAAAACAATTATATAAAATCTCAAAAAAAAAAAAAAAAAAAGGATTATGTTTTTCATCATTTTGGTAAAGATTGAAAAATTTTTTAGCCATTAATATTTATTTTTACATTTTGCCCTTTTTAAAAAATATCAAAAATGCTTTGGGCACATATCGATTATTTAAAATCTAATTTTTTCATTAATTTTCAACTTCATTTGGATGCTCTGTTTAATTGTGGATTTTTCATTAATTTTCAACTTCATTTAGATGCTCTGTTTAATCATGCTTTAAATATATTTTTTCATATTTTATTAGATTTTTTTGTTTTTATTTTTTATTTTTTTAAAGACTTTTTTGATTGCCCAAGACTTATCCGATTATGCCGATTGAACCGGCAGGTTTATCGGTTAGGTCCATTAAACAAGCAGGTTTACTGGTTAGGCCGATTAAATCGCTTCCGGCCCCATATCTGATTAATCGTTCCAGTTTGATTTTTTCTACACTGGTTTAGATTAGCATTGACATTTGTGTACACATCCCCACACAATAAGCAGAGTGACCCTCATGTCCTTTTTGGTCCCTTGTAACATGGCCATTCTCTTCACGTTTTAGCGTCTTTGGGTAAATGCCCTGAAAAAACATTCATAAAATTTGTTTTGGTGATGTAAATTTAATTCATAAATGCTGTTTACAAAGAAGTCACAAAACCAAGGGAGCAGGAACAATCAAACCCTGCAAAGAAATACCACACTTTGCCAATCCATTTGCCACATCATTAGCTTCAGTTGAAGCTAAATGATACCTCCAATCCATTGCAACAGTTGAAGACCTGCAGGCAGATATGTCTAAGGGACCATGGTGGTCTAAACTTTTTATTATACCAATTAATTACATTGAGCAAATCCGCATACACTAAACAACATCCACCCTTGTAAGTCAGCAAGAAATTCAGGCTCATTAGCTGATTTAACTCCACACGTACTAGAATAGGAAAATAGAAAATACCCTCGGAGCCATGCCTCCTAAACCAGGAGGTCTCGGGTTTCCTACTGAGCTTCCATCAAAATTCAAGTTGACTTACTCCAATAATAGACAAGCCCCCCTTCATTTAGGACTCAATTTATATTAGTTCACTAAATTACACAAATTCACAGTTAAATCCACCTTAGAAACTTCCACTTCCTTTGTGACTGAAAACCAGCACCATAGGTGTGAACAATTTTCTCTTTCACATTGTCCGAATTGCATTTAACCCCTTGAAAAGTTCTATCCCTTTCTAACCAAATTTCCCATACCATAGTTGCTTTAAATATCCACATAGTTGTCCCTAGTTTCAGTAGACCACCAACCTCCAATTGTTCGACCATATCAATGTCTTCTCGATAGCATCATCGATAGTCCTATTTTGTTTAGTGCCTACTCCTTTATGTGACTGGTAAAAGAACAATGCAAGAACAAGTGATCTCCCGTCTCTTCATCCTCGTATAATAAGGTAATAAGGTGACTCTTCCCCTCTTCATTAGATTATCCAAAATAAGGGTTACCTTGCAACAAAATCCAAAGAAATGCCTGTACCTTTGTGGAATTTGCCACCTCCAAATCTTATTTAAGACTAGTTGATCCCATCTTAGGTGATCATGAAAAAGGATATGGTAAGTTGTTTTAACCGAGAAGAGACCTCCCTAGTACTCTCACAAACCACTTTATCTTCAAGCAAAGGAGATAGATACAGAGAATCCAAGATCCCAAATAATTGAAATAATTTCTTATGAAACTTTATTATAACCACACTCAAGATTCCATACGATATTCAAGCCTTGCTATTGATATACATCTTTCACCTTCACCTTTGAGTTAGTACTACATTAAAAAATTTGTGGATAATTAAATTTCAAAGCTCTATAACCTATCAATTTGTGATGTCAAAAATTGATATTATCTCCCTTGCCCACCAAGCAACGAATATTAGGCTCCACAAACTCGTTAGTGTAACGATTACCTTTCCATAAGTGTGACTGATGAGTAGCACCACGTCCTCGACCAACCAGCACAGAATATATAGATGGCCGCCTGCCTTCATAACTGATTGTTGGCCCAAGCGAAAGGCCGTTGTTTGATCCACTACTGGTTGAATATTCTGGTGCCGGACTCGGAAGATGAAGACAGGGGGGTGGCTGTAGAGGATGGGTTCAGTGAAGGGGGTTTGGGGTATGACTCTGATTACTTTTAGTGGAAAGTTCTGTCATACCACTGGAAAGTGTTGGTGAAGGTGTGGAGGAGGATTGTCAGTATCGAGTAATGCCTGATAATATGGGTCTGAATTATTGTGTTCCAATAGTTGTGGTGCTCTAGGCTATTAGGGACAAGAAGAAGCTGGAGAAGTTGGCAAAACAAGTGTCTGAGAAGGATGCTAATCTGGAGCAGTCAGGGGTAGTTCCTGAAGGCAAATTCCCTTCCGCTGTGGGTTCTCCTAGCAAGGGGAAGAGGGTGGTTCAAAAGGCGTCGTCCAGAGCCAAAGAGAAGAGGTCGGCTGCATCTTCTAGGTTTTCGACTAGGTTGGTTGCTAGAGGCCCAAAGTTGGTGACTAGAGAGCATAGTTTGAATGAAGATGACTCGGTATCAGTTAACTCAGATGAAAGCTCAAACTTTTTGGAGATCACACGCGTGCTGGAACATCAAGTTTTTGGGCCTGATACTGAAGGTCCAGGTTCTTCGTCCAACCCTTTTTTATGCCTATTTTGAATTGGAATGTTATTAGCTTTAGGGGATGTGGGTAGGAAGAGGGATGTTCTCTTTTTGGTTTTAATTTTGCAAGAAACCAAGCTTTCCAGTCCTACTGTGTTTGGGGTTCGGGAAGTTTGGGGTTTTGGTTCAATGTGTTTTGATGGTATTGACTCGATTGGGGCATCAGGTGGGTGGTGGGTTTTGTGGAATCCCCAGATTCTACAAAGTTTTGAGATTCTTAAGGGTGATAGATGGTTAGTTGTACTTTTCAATGGCCTAGTGCCCAACGTTTCATGGGGGCTTTTGAATGTTTATGGACCGAATGTTGTGGCTCTCAAAGAAGATTTCTTAATGATTTGTTGAGTGTTTGATCTATATTTAATTTGCCTTTTAGTGTTGGGGGTATTTAAATTTGATCAAATGGCCCGAGGAGTCTTCCTCAGGTGGATGCATTATTCCTCCATGAGACTCTTCAATTCTTTTATTGGGAATCATAGACTGTTTGATATCCTTTGTTAGGTGCATCATATATGTGGACGAAAAATACTCTTGCAAACCTCATCATGACCAAGATTGATAGGTTTCTAGTCTCCAATGAGTATTTGGAATTTTTTCCTCTGGCTACTGTGCAAGTTTTGCCTAGATTGTCTTCTGACCATATGCCATTGTTAGTGAGTTCTAGTAATTCCTTGGGTGGCCCAAAGCCTTTTTGATTGGAGATTGGATGGTTGGATGAAATAGGGGTTGTGGATCTTATTAGAGCAACCTGGGAAAATATTTTCACCTTTGGTTCATTAGACGTTTAGCTACACAAAAAATTACTTTATGTGAAGCATAAGCTGATTGGTTGGAAGAAGGAAAATAAGTACCAGTTAAAAGCAAAAATTGATAATTTGTTGGAATAAATTAAGGGGATTGATCAAACTATGCAAAGTAAAGGAGTGATTTCTAAGTAAAGTGCTCTTGCTAGAGTAAAAAAAGTAAACTCTCTGAATGACCTCCGCAAGATTGAGGAAGTTTATTGGAGGCAAAGATCACAAGTTAAAT